AATGAAGAAATCGAGGAGGCCATAAGGCCCATCCCGCAATTTAAGCGGCAGACTTTGAGAGTTCCTTGGAGGTGTTCGGGAATAACAATTATAAGCTCGTGCATATGAAAAAAGACTCGACAATCGAAGACTTGGCATCGTGCAACCTGGAATGTGAGAACTCCAACGATGACAATGTCGTGATCAAATTGAATATAGATAATGTCCATTAAAATTTGATCAAGTCTAAAAAAACTTTGACAGTTATACCCGACCAGAGTAGTAGCTAATTGATTGATGTCGCAACAAGAAAATACATTAATTTTCCGAATGACATTTCTAGAATAGTCAACAAGAAAATCCTTCTGGCAATATCATTTCGGTACAGCGTCCTTTTGAGGCTGCCGATGGATGGAAAGTTTTCCGAGTGCTTACGCTAGTAGCCCTGCTGGTTCATCATGGTGGCCACGGCACGCGTGCGATAAGTATTCCTGGCCACCGCTTCGACTTCGGCGCGCAGACCATCGCTGACCGCAAGTTTAAGTTTGGTTTCTCCAAGAGCCAAATAATCGAGCTTGTGCACTAGTTGCAAGTACCCGATCCCGTCATAACGACGTCCCGACACAGGGCTGGGGCCATATAGGCATTATGCATAATGCTTAATCGTCTCGCATGGCCACACCGACTTGCGATCACAAACTCGACACTGTTCACTGTGAAAGGACACCATGAACGTTTGCCTGAACAAGATGGAGTTTCCTCACAACCTTCAAGAAAGGTGGAGCCCATGAGTCAACCAAGAAGTGCTACCAACTTTAGTGCTGGAGGCACAGAGTACATTATTTACAGCCGCGACAAATATCCGACAACACTTGCCGTGCTGATTGTTTATCCGACAATTATTCGTCTGCTGATTGGCCAGGTTACTTTATGTTCCAACCGTTGGGCTACTGTGGTGTCGCAGGAGCAGCATATCCTTAACATTTGACATGAACGTACATGATCGCATTGGCTAACATCAACTATCAAGAAATGCCGCTCAGTGTCGGTTTTGTATTTACTGTTAATGGACGCGATGCCGACAAAGTAGACCATTCAAGAGGCGTTCCATGTCGCGTTGACCAACAACCAGTTCCTTGAATTCTTTGAGAATGCACACCCCGGTATCAATCCTTGCATTGCAACAACTGACGACTACACCGATTTCTTCCACCACCTGTACTCAGTGGGAAAGAAAGCACGAACAGTTGACTGTGCCAGACAGCAATGTAGCATTCTTCAAAGAACGCAATGTGGCACCCAACCCTGCTTAGGCAATTGCTAACAAGTGCTACGTTGTAAGTTTCCAAGAGTTCAACAGGCAAAACAACTTTGACGAAGAAAAAATGCAAATCACAATCCACGAGGTTTCGGTGCGGATGAAGTCATTCGGTCATTTGAACGTTTTTGTCGGTACAATATTCCGCTCTTTGTTTTCGTTGTGTTACATCGACTGTTTTCGAATCGGCGAGGTCCTTTCGTTGAGGGGGTGTGAGGCCTCAAGGTCCGTAGCCGATGGTGGACCTTATATCTTATATCTGTCCATCCGCCTACGCAGCCTCAATTACACACCCGTTTAAAATGAGTGTAAAATGTACCATTTGGTGAACGAAATGGCGTACCCTTGCTGTCAAGTGTGGCTACCACCAAGAAAGAATACGAGGCGACAAACAATACAATCATGATGAACGTTGCCGAGAATGCCTATGTGTATTCCAAGCCACCCATTTACAAAATGGAACCATCGAGTCTTGTTGAACAAACCTATGCAGCAGAACCACCTTCGCCGTTTGATCAACGATATGGACGAATGAAATTCGGAACTACCATCGGACATTTCCCTGCATAGTATGAGAAGAGGTGGGAGTGTCTTCCGAGACGTTTTTCTACAGAGCGCCGTTTTAATTTACGTGAACTCATGGCACGGTGTCGATGGGGTGGTGTCAAAACTTGCTGCGAACACCTCGTGACAAAAGTATCAGTGTCGAGATCGAATCATGGCATCTCCGGATGAAGTCGATGACGTCGTCGGGGCCTCTTCAGCTGAAACTGGCAGCTTCTAAAAGGCCACCATCAGCTGAGTGAATTGCCGATTCTGTTGTGAGGAAGTTACGTATTTATTACACACGATGTTGTCCCCATTACCATGAAGGCCTCCGTTTTGAAGCAGATTTTGATCGATGCTATTGTTGTGCCGAAGAGAATTCCACCTGTCCGCTCTGCAGAGGAAGCTTGGCATGAGAGGTTCCACACCGATGTCACCAACGGACGCCTAAACGATCTAAAAGATTTCACAAAGGACTTGATCTAGATGGACCGGAAAAGTACTCTAAGCGACTTACCCTTGCTCAGGCTTTCAGCAAGTTCCATACCTTCGAGTTGTTTGAAGATGCGTTTGCTGTCTCGTTGTGCTGAAAGAGGTTCGCAAGAGTAGACGAGAAAATAACTTGTGTAATTGATTCGATTCATCATTGCCTTCATGGAATTTTGGCAATAGAGGGGATCGTACTCGAGGCCAATTCCAATGAGCGTTACCTTTTATTGCACGTGTTCGCGCCCAACAGGGAAACTTGGTGGGCCATAAATAGAAGGGTATGCCTTGAAATTGAATGGAGACAAGTTCTCAATATTCTTTTAGCCAATGAGAGAGTCGGTAGGTACAGCCAATCAGATCTATGTCGGTTGAGATTGACGCGTCGGTCATTTTGTCTATAACGTTTCTTTGATTGCCGTGAAATCCTGCTCTTACGGTACTTACTTACGTGGCTTCGCTACAACGACCTTCTCAACAGATATACTTCGTACGACAATCTCTACAGCCTAAGTAGACAATTCAAGTCATTTTCGCTCTTGACTTCATTACACTAGGCTTGATCGTTTAGAGACTAGTATATTTCATGACTATCTCGCGCCCGTCGTCGTCTGTCCAGTGTCAACTCCAAACGAAATTGCACGTATGTACGAGATTTGTCGACGTAAACTCACAGTCAACAACCGTTTTGACAGGGCGTGACCTGCCAGCATAAGCTCTGCCTTCCATACCGTATTCCTTTTGAGTCCACAGACGAATCCTTGTGAATCTTATAACCTTTAACATTCAATAATTCGTTCCCAGAGTTGACAATGCAGTTACTTCCTCTGTTTCTTATTGCTCCCACCGTTCCAATAGCCTCTTTTTTCATGTTACCGCCACCATTTCAATAGGATTGGACAAGCGAAATGATATGAATTTTATTGGTTATAATTCCAGTTCCAGTACTGAAGGACTCGTGCTTGGGGGAAGCTGTTGACCGCGAAAAGAAGCGACATAGGGCAGGATAAATTCATCACATGGGTGTCAGCACGCTTCATTGCACCCTTCTTTAGATGGGGCAGCTTAAACTGGTTGCCACCACCATGTACGAGCACCAATCGCATGACGGTTTTCAGATTAAGGAACACGTTCTCCAGGGTTTCTGCATCGAGCGAGTCCAACGCCATCATTGTCAATGCAATCACATCATCATCAGGGCGGCTAAAGTCTTGTACTGTAGGGTTTGGATAGACTCAAAGAAGCCAAGGTCAGGAAATTGAATCACGAATGGCCACAACCAAGTTTTTCGTCGAACCTCGAACGGCATGGGATTGTGCTCATGGAGAAAATTTCAAAAATCTCTGCAGGTCCCCAAGTACATATTCTATTACTCAATATTTGTATTTTTGTTCTGGTGGCCCTGATGCGATGTCCACCATATTTCCATTTTGACGCATTGTTGCCAAAGGACGTTTCCTTCAGAAATTTAATCTCTTTTTTGTGTGATCTTCCGCATCAAATTTGGATACGAAATGAATTTTTGGGGTCACTTCAAGTGCTTATGGTGGCATTAAAATGAAACAGAGGAAGTACATATCAATGCCTGACGTTTATGGTACCCTACATTCATATTCTTCCTCTGTTACCTATTACTGCCACCATTTGAAAAACCCTTTCTTGTATTAGTGCCACCACGTCAATACAATTGGATGATTGAAAAGTGAACATATTTCATTGGTCATAACCGTTACTGTTGAATTTCTGGGTCTGACTGTTGAAGGAAGACATTCGCATCATTGAGCAGCGACACAGGGCAGGACAAAGTCAGAGTAAGGGTGCCCGTACATCGCAAGAAAACTATTTGCAGATGAGGTAACTTAGAGTGGTTACCACCACGGTGTTCGAGGACCAATAGCATTACGGCCTGTAGGGTAAGAAAGACTATGGCCATCGTCTCTCCAGTGAGAGTGTCAATGCCATCACAGTTGTCGCAATAATGTCATCAACAGTGCGACTCACCATCTTGCGCTGCAACGTTTGTATCGACGCAAAGAATTCAAGGTCGAGCACGTTCAAATCCGGACTATTTGGCGGCTGCCGACACACAGCAAAGATCCACCCGTCCGTGGTGGCTAGCTAAGAGTCAATGGCCTCTTGTGTGAGGTTGACGTGGACTTCACAGAATGCAAGGTGCTCGCGTCTGTTTACTTCTGTCAGAATGGGCTTCAGGCTCGACGACCTGCGGTGAACGAATCCTTTGAGGGTACGGACGAGGATGAACGTGGTCAACCCGGTGGCTTCGGCGATGTCTCTCAAGGTGCTGCGCTGTTGATGAGGAACTTGTTGTATTAGGTCTCTTACCTCCTGCGCTGGGTGCTTGGCCTTTGACCAACATGGCCGACTTTTTGCGTTGCCAAGTTGCCACCCTTGTAGCCGCTCCATATTTCTCCAACGGTACAACGGTTGAGTTGGAGTTGCATCGCAATTTCTTTGATTGTTCCATGTGGAAGCTTTCCCATACACATGTGTTCTAGCACGGCGATTGCAACCTCACGCTTCGCAGTCGGAGTCAATTCTCGTGTCGGGCATTGTGGTGAGCTCATGGCGTGAGATTTGAGAGCATTTTCTGACCCGTAGACCGGCAGTATTATCCTAATTTTTATCTATTTTTTAAATATGATCTGGTGGCGCTAAGACGTTGTCGACTTTGACCACCCAATCTTCCACTTGGAGCTCCCTTCCCATGGACTCTTCCTGCAATTTTTTTCTCTTTTTTGCGATATTCAGCATCAAATTTGGCCCGAATATGATATATCCAAATATTCGGGTCGTTTTGTGCCGTTGTGGTGGTAGTATTTGACTGATTTCGCTACAGTGATTCTCATTGTGAAAATCCACTGTGACAGTGTGTAACGCTCCTACAAGGAAATTCAGCGAAGTAAATTCCCCGTGACTTCCTCTGACAAGAAATTCGTTTTTACACTCGACACGACTCCATGAGCCTGGAAGAAAGCTCGAAACTTAAGCCTGCCCATCGGTTCACGGTCCAAGAGGACATTGACCTCCTCAAGGAGGTCATTCTGGTTCGTCCTCACGACGCGCCCTACGGTCAAACTGCTGGTAGATGGGAGGAAGTCGGTGACCACATGCGCGCAATCCACGGCATGACCACCACGACCGTTGACTGTCGTAAACGACACGATGACCTGATGGTTGCGTTCAAGCAAGACACTATCAAATCACTGCGAGCTTCTGGCACGGAGAAGCAGAACAGTGAGCAAGAACAGCTCTTGCAGGACCTCCTCGGCATGGTAAGATTCATCCACTCATGTGCACAGCACACCTACTCTAAACCACGGTCAACCTCTAGACAAATGCAGAAACGGACCGAAAGAGAGCACTCATGGAGGAGGAGGAGGCGATAGGTGATAAACGAGTGGCCGACGAGCATGCTGTGCGGGAAGCGACAATGCGGACACTCAAGCGCAAGGCTGAACATTTGAGAGCACAGAGCGACGATCATTCAACCATGGATTTCGACAACAAGGCGTTGCGCGGACCCTCCATGTTCAAGGATGCCTCGTATGCAGTTGAGTTCGCTACATCTCTGAAGAAGTCAACTGCGTTGAAGATGGACGAAATTTCGGCGCAGCGTGAGCCGAACGCGTTGATGGCAAAGAAGCTAGAGCTCGAAGAGCGTCGATACGAGTTGGACAAAGCCGAGTGTGAAGCTCGTTTTGCCCTGGAGCAACGGGGGCGTCTAGCTCAGTTGGAATTTATGCAAGCAACTCTGGAAGTGATGCGTGCCATGGCCAAGAGGTAATAGACTTGTGAACTAACTCAATACATGCATTATACAATTATGAACTCTACTTTGGTTCAAATATTGGGACGTGGATATTCGTGAGCTGTGGGAGGCTTCACACCAAAGTAGTTTGAAACTTGGTTGCCTTGCTGCATGCGGGTGTGAACATTCGTGAGGAGAACTGCCACGGCACACTGAACACCAACGACTTGCATCCACAACTTTTGGCCCCCGCGGAAATCTATGTAAGTCTATGTAAGTCCATAGGTTGCGAACAATCCCAAATTCCCACTCGACACTGACTCGAACTGCGCTCATGCGCCGATTGAATTCGGCTTATTCTTCACTCAATCGCGCGTTCTTAAACCCCGAGACATTAACGTCGCTTAGGCCGTACGCGGGGTCACCATAGATGACAAAAAGCTTGTCTGTCGGACGATACGGCCGACCCCGCCACCCCAGTCGACGACTCCACGGTGACCCCAGGGGTCCAACGCCAGTACTAAGGTGCTCCCGGCCGACCTCCTCGACCCCGCCCCAACCTTCTCCATGACCACCTGCAACCTCAACGGACTCAAGATCAACGGCCACCTCGTCGCTCGGAGTCTCAAGCAACCCCCAACCTGCGTCGTCTTCCAAGAAACCAAGATGCGCGACGCCCGACAACTCGACACGTTCC